GAAGTCACTCCTGAGGTTCACCGTTCAGCCGGGGATTGGACAGCCCATAAAACAAAACGGGACTAATGAGGCACAGCAGTCCTGGGACAAGGACTAGAAGGCAGGAGGGGACAGGAAAGCTGGTGATAGGGAACCTAAGGTCGAGAAGCAACAGTGTTGACATGTCATGTGGTTGTTAACCATTGTCATAAGGCAATATGTGTACTAACTGTTTAATGAGACAGTATTTGTTCTGTAAACCTTCATCTAAAGTACAAAAAAAGAAAACAATGATCTATTTGAGATCAAATTGACAACAGCAACTCAAAACGTTTGATTGGAAGCCTAGGGGACAGTGAGTTGAAGATAATGGTGATTGAATAATTTCGAAAAGGATAGTGAGAATAGCAGCACAACTGGAAGAATGTAATCGATGTCACTGAATTGTACATGTAGAAATTTTTGAAATGGTGTATCTTCGGCTATGTATATTTTCACCAAAAAAAAAAAAAGGTCCTCCAAGGTCAAAAAGGGAGAGTGTTGACATGTCGTGGGGTTGTTAACGAATGACATAAAACAATATGAGTACTGACTGTTTAATGAGACACTATTTGTTCTGTAAACCTTCATCTAAAGTACAGTAAAAAAATTAAAAAAAAAAAAAGCTTGGACAAAGCTAATGTAAATGCAACATAAACCAATTCACCAAAAGGCGATTTTTAAAAGGAAATTTATTTCATTTGAAAGTATCTATTCCTCACAAGTCTGAAAACTGAAGCCAGTATTTAATTAAACTGAAGCCAGGGACCAAATTATTCTTGGGATAAAAAGGAAAACTATACATGTGACTTCAAACTTTGCAGACTGCTTTTAAAAAAAACCTTCTTCTAAATAAACCCATCTAAATTTGGCAAGGAGAGTGGGAATGGGAAGTGTTAATTGACAGAAAAGTAAGTTTTAACACTCCATTGATATAGATGGTTTCCAAAAGGAGGTGCTTTTAAAGGGACTTCTAATCACACACACAAAGACACACTCTTACGCTTTTCTTCTGTTCAGTTTCCATTTAGCAAACTGTTAAAAAAAAAAAAAAAACATAAAACAAACCAAACCCATTGCCGTTGAATCGATGCCGACTCAAAGCGACCCTACAGAACATATATGGAACTGCCCCATACGGTTTCCAAGGAGCAACTGGTGGATTTGAACTGCTGAGCTTTTGGTTAGCAGCGAAAACAAGTAAGCACTGTGCCACCATGGCTCCCGAACTGTTAATGAGATACCCTAATTTCCGGGGTGGGGGTGGGGGGAACAGCAACTGTAATCCTAAGTAATGCAGTGTTTTCCTCCCCATCTCTCTGCGGACGATTACCCAACCACGGGGCTAGCTGAACTTGGTGATGGCTTTTCTTCCCTGGATTTTGGACCGAACCATCTGTCTTTTGGCATTCAACCAACTCCAAGATCCCTTCTCTAGATGAAAATCTATTAGATGTCTCTTTTGGAGTGAAGGAGTTACAGGCACCTTTCCAGATTCCTAAAATATATCTTCTTAAAAGGTGACAGAAATAAATTACTGGAAACTGAGAAATTTCTTAAGAGGTCTCTAAGAAATACACATTTCCTCTGAAAAAACAGGGGCCTCGTTTAATACACAAACAACCCACTATGGTAACTTTTCATTGGTACAACCACAACAGTCTCAGTTAACACTTTGGACTTTCCCTGATGAGAACAATCCTTCAAGCCACTAGAGGCTCTGTTTACTTCCCTTTGACCCCTGTCGGCTCCTGAAAAAGTGACACCAACACGCGACAGCCAGAGGTGTCCAACCGGCAGTACGCGGAGCGCTCTCCTGAGCTGAGCGTCGCCCGCCCGCCTGAAGGGCGCTCGGGGACGAGGGCCACGGCGCAGCCCAGCCGCTGGAAGGGGACGAGCGCGCGATGTTCACGCTGCCTCCACACCCACCTCCTGCGCTACAAGTCCCCTCTCTTTGCCAAAGCCAGGACTCTAGGGGCTGCACTTATTGTTAGCCGCGTCTATTACTTTGTGGGCCGGGTGACATGAATGGATGGGCTGGACACACTTTCCAGCCTCCTAGAAAAAAACTCGCCCAGATCTGCACAGAGAGCGGGACAGACTCCCCAGGCGCCTCCAGAGCCTACGCTGAGGGCCAGGAAAAACGCACAGCTTCCCCCTCCCACCCTCACTCCTCCCATCCCTTTAAAAAAAAAAAAAAAAGCTCAACAGAAATAAATAATACCGTCCCAAGCCTTCCGGCGCCTCTGTCTCCTCTCCCCTTCTCCCGGCTCAGCACGCTCTAAGCCCTGCGGGAGGCGGCAGCCAAGAAGTGGCCGCGCGGGGCCTGGTGCGGGGAACGCGAGCAAGAGGCCGGCGCGCAGCGGGCTCGCGGCGCCGCACTATGCTCCCCAGCGCCGTGGCCGCCCAAGCCGGCGCGTACTGGGACGTGGTGGCTTCCTCCGCACTCCTGAACCTCCCCGCAGCGCCGGGCTTTGGCAACCTGGGCAAGAGTTTCTTGATTGAAAACTTGCTGCGGGCCGGCGGCGCCACGCCGCCAGGACTGCAGCCGCCCCCGCCCCACGGCCCAGCGGTCGCTGTAGCCGCTGCTGCAGCCGCCGCCGCCACGCAGGTCCGGCCCCTGCCCGCCAGTCCTGTTCCTCTCAAACTGTGCCCTGGGACCGAACAAGCTAGCCCCGCCGGGGCACCCTACGGCACGCGGTGGGCTTTTCATGTTCTCGGCCCCTCGGCGGACTGCGCAAGGCTGTCGGGCCGGAACCCGGGAGACCGCGACTGTACCTTCCAGCCTTCAGCCCCAGGTGAGCCAACTCCGTACCTCCCCTGAGCGCCTGGTATCCTCCAGTCGGGCGGCCCCGAGGTCTGGGCGCGCTGTCTGCGCCCACTGCACCGAGGGCGCGACGGTCCCTGTGCGCAGGATCCCGTGCCAGGCTGGGACCTTCCTAGAGCATCTCGACCTTTTGTGGAGATGCCACTTCGGGACTAAGGAGGAGACCACTAGTTCTTGTGATTCTTTCCTATCTTGTACCACCAGGTACCTGCCCGTCCCTTTTTTTCAAGTAGTAAGGATACTTTGACTTTCTGGCCTTTACGGGGAAACCCTAGAGGCACCCGGTTGTGTCTGGGCTAGTTTCACCGGGTTTCCCAAGTTCAGCGTTTCTAGGCCGCCCTTTCCTGTCGCGAAGGCCGCGCGGCAGCGGCTCCCTGGAAAGTTCTAGGCAGGGAGAGCTTCGCGCAGCCCACTTCTGGGGCTTTCGCCTCTCAAACCGTTGGGACGGTCGGAGCCATTCAAGAACGAGCGCAAAGATCTTCGGAAGAAGAGTTTCGCAAGGTTTTGGCTTTTTCCATGCTTACATTTTGTATCGCTTAAGGCGAGAGGAAATCAAGGCAGAATTTTTTTCTTCGTGCTGAGCTGAAACAGCTGAATTGGCAGCCGGAATAGGAAGTTCACCAAGAGGATTTAAAATAAATGAGGATTTACCAAAAAAAAGGGCAATCTGGGTTTGTTGGTTGTAATTACTGCATAAGACCTAATCAGGTGGACTGGGAAGAAGGATGCGGACAATTTAGTCAAATATTAGCCAAAGCTTATGGAGGAGTTGCTGAAGTTGGCAATGATAGAAAGGAAGAGCCTCTTAGGCACTCAGGAATTGAGATAAGTTGGGTTAATTTTTTTTTTTTTTTCGTGCGTCCTTAGACGGTCTTAACTCATTCTCTTAACCCGGACGAGTTAGGGAGTCGATACTGACTAACAGACGCTTTTCAGCGGATTCCATTGTTCCGGCAAACTGCCGGATCAAATTTATTGCTAATGGCTTTATAGAAGTAAACGTGCTTAGAACCTGCCCTGGTCTTTTGTTTTAAAATGATTACTAACAGAATGGAACAAATATAATCCAATTATAGAAGCACCGGTCTCATTTACATAGTATAAAATCTAAATTCTAGGAAGCCTCTTGCACACTGGGAGAGGAGGAAATACAGTTAAGGGAAAGTTTTCGTGCCTTGGAAATTTGGACCAGTTAGTTCTTTTGGAAGTATTAGGAAAATTAAAAATCAATGGAGCATGGTCACGTAGAGAAAAGTTAGTAAATAAATAATATTGTCTTTTAAAAATAACATTTTTAAGATCAGAGGTGATTTGCATAACTTTTGATGACTTGGCATTATGTTCATGGAAGTTATTTTTCAAGAATTCTTAAATTGTTCCTGATTGTGATTGACTACTCACCATTAAAAAGTTACTTAATTTTTACCTTTGTAGATTTTATAGATTCAATTTAAGTAAAGTAAATGCAAATCAAATGTAGATATTTCATTAACCCTTGAAAATAATTTCATGTACCTATCCATTTCGTTCAAAATAGTTAATGGGTAAAAGGCTTCCTAACTACAGTCTTTTTATTTTCAAGAAGATACTCATTCTTGTACACTTATTAAAGTGTCCAAATGCAAAGATGATTTCTTGGACTAATTAAGCAAATATAATAATTTATATTTCCCTTTGAAATATTCTAATATAGTTTAAGTTTTCTAAGTATTTTATTCAGTCCTCATTGAAGATTTGATGTTCTCCTGTTGTTTAATTTTCATTTGAACAATCTTTTATTTTTAGTTAAATCATTCTGTAAAGAATGCATCTAATTTTTGAAACTAGAAAAACATCTACAGAAGAACACTGAAATCCCATAAATTTGTCATAAATATCCTGCTTACAACCAGCATTTTATTCATTTATCTTTGTAATTTGTCAAAGAATGTTGTTTTCTGAACACTGCCCCAGTGTTATTCATATGACGGATTTTTGCCTTACCAAATGTTGTGGGAATTCTCTTATACAGTGTAGAATTATGAAGTTATAATGAGTGCCAGCAATTTTAACTATCACCTGAAAGTTAGGTGAGGATGAAATAGTGATTGATGTTCGGCAGAGAGCATAAAGAGATAGAAAAGCTGTTGTTTTTAGAGAGCTCACACTCTCCGAACTGTCAGTGAACAACCAGTTTTAGAGAGTAACTTGGCTGTGAATCACAAAAATGTGATTTTTAATAATTTTAGCAGTTTGACCACTCGTATTTCCTCAACCTTAATTTGTTGAGTGTACCAGTCTAAATGTTGAATAAGATATATAAGAAATGAAAAAGTTATCCTTTAGTGCATTGGTAAAACACAACACCATTTAACGCAGGGATTTATGCCACCACATGCATTTCTGCTTCATTATTTTTGGTACCCACTATTAATATATAGTTCATTCAGCAAATACTTACTGAATGTCTCCCATGTGTCAAGCTCCGTTCTAGGCCCTTGGGGTAATCTGTGAACAAAACAGATGACTGTCCCTGCCTTTGTGGAGTTTACAGTCCATGTTCCCATACTACTTCATCGTTTACCAAGCATTTTCAAAATTGTTAGCTCCTTTAATCCTCATAATAGGCCAATGAGGTAGCTATTGGTATCCCAGTTTTTTTGTACAATGATTATTTCACTTGCTAATTTTGTTCTTCAGAAATGTCCGTTTAAACTTCTGTGCTTGTGTGAAAGAAAAAATTGCCCCACATCTTCAGGCTCTTATCTTAGTCTTTCATTGAATAGGAGAAACTAATAAGGGATAATGGGATAACCAATAACATATATCACAATAATAAATCAGACTGTGATTTTGTATCGCGGCCCACAAGGAAAGAAATTAGCTCTCCCCTTCATCTTGTTAGAAGACGTGTCTGAAAGGCGGTGACAGTCAAGCAATTACACAGACTAACAGGTTAGGGATGAAAGTGCAACAGTCAGTGTTTCATGCCTGAAAGTTGGCAAGTCTTTGACTGTTTAGGGCAAGGAAAGGAACGTGTTCTCAAATTGTTTATAGAGAGTAGTTTTAAAACTGTAAAAATCGAAAGGCATTCCTCAAGACCTGAAAGGGATTACATTTAGAGCAACAAAAGATAGTAAGTAAGTTTGCCTCCAGGGGTTGTATCTGGAAAAAAAATGTTTTGGATCTGTTGTAGTTTATTAGTGGAAACTGGGAGGTTTTGTGAGTAAATCCTAATCATTGGAGATTCTTCTCCAGAAGTTCTTTAAACTCATTATTACGGGAATGTTGGGCTAGATTGAAACATTTATATGTTTTTATATGTAAAAGAGGGTCTAGAATTTTGGCCAAATATTAACTGAGGAAAAGTGAAAGCTGAATAAATTTAAATTTCTCTTGATTATACTATCAGTTTTCTTCAAAGTAAGTGAAACAAATAATCTTGCTTTTAAATAACATTTGTTACTTTTAATATTTTAGGAAATGTTTGCTATAAAAAGCATTCCTTATATATGATTTTCTTTAATGTTTATTAAATCTACTCTGTGTGCTGAAAATATTAGTTTTTTTAGGTCAAAATAAAAGGATTGGAAAGCAAATGTTCATTCTGGATAGGCAAGTTGTACTGTACTTTTTTAAAAAAAGTAATTTTTTCCAAGTAAATTGTACTGTGTAGTACAGAAATGGATCCAGAACTATAGTTATTTTTTTCTGACACCCAGCTACGGTTATCTCTTACCGTTAATACTTAATGTGCACTATAGTTTTCTTGTCTCCTAGTCCCATTTATTATGTAAGTAATAAAAATCCTTGACTCTGTCTTAAACTACTGCACTTATGTTTTGTGTTCCAACTGGTATCTCCTTCATTGAGATACACTGAAAGTATGAAATAAAATAGCTTCTCTTGCAGTTTAGGGACTTGGGAGAGAGTGGGGATGGATCTGTGCTCAAAGTAGGGATCCTAGTCTGACTGAGGACTTTGTGATAAGATTTATTAAGCCAGAGGTTTGTCATTTTTGTTGCTAACACCATACTCTTGATTTGTTTTGGCAAACTAAAATCACAGTCTTGAAAGCTGATGATGCTGATTCAGAACCAGGACAATGGGAATGGAGGATTCAGAACAGGACGATGTTGGAAACCATTCTAGCGGTTGCTTGAGCTCAGGCCGTCACCCCAACTATCCTTTGGTGAATTTGTAGATAATACCAGAACCATGTTCTTACTTTATCTGTATATTCTTTGTAATCTGTTGAACATATCTTTGTATTGAAATTAACTTACTGCTAACTTTTACATAGTTTGCGAGTAACCTGCTCTGAAAAATTACTGTATGGTCCCTAAGTTAATAAACTTCTTAGGTTCAAGGAGAAGTTCCTTCAGTGAATAGAACCAACAGAACTAGTACACAGTCCCTTTACTTCCAATCCTGATTAAGCCACACTCCTTAGAAAATAATGCCTGAGGTGGGTCTACAATGGGGTAGCGACTTATATGCATTTAATTTGCCTCCGAATTTAGAACCTAACCCCCCTCACCCCACCCCCTCCATCCTGCAATACACATGTCTCTACTTTAACAACAAGTGAATCCCAATCTGTTAACATGTATTGAAGCTACTGAGGTTTAATAGCATAGCAGGGGTAAATCCAGCAGGCAAGTAGGAACATTTTAGAAATTCACACTTACCTCCTATTCACTTTAGGGATTTGAGGGTTATTTTAAGAGGCACAATAGTTTGAATGCCCAGAAATCTGCGTATGGATTTACAGAGAATTAAATTTAGGATTCAGAGCATTATCGTTTGCATGCATGGAGCCAAAGGATGCCATATGTTGTGGGCAATTTAAAGGCATTGTCTAGGGTGATTTTCACTACACTTGTCGCTCAGATATTGGAACCTAATTAGACTTCATTATATTCTATTGTATTTCTTTTTGGTTGGGGCACCTAGTACCTGTTTTTGTGCCCACCAGAAAAAGCCTTTCTT